TTAAAAAAAAAAAATATTTTCAAATAAATCATGATACTGAGTAATTTTATATTGTTGTTGTTGTGCTATTATTATTATTATTATTATTATTAATGATAATAATAAAGTAATAATAATAAAAAAAATAATAAAATGTCATGTTACTAATAATATGAATGTAGTATTAATAAATAATAATTATTATTATTATTCAGTAGCAGAAATAAAATGAATGATTATAATCTTACTACTGCTATTAATATCAATATTTATAAATTAGTATAAATATATAAATATTATATATAGAATCATATTCTAGCATATTTTATATCATAGCTTAATAATAATAATAATAATAATGTTATTATTAGTTGTTAGTAGTAGAAGTAGTTGTAGTAGTATGATTAATAATAATAATAATAATAATAATAATAATAATAATTGTACCACTGCCACTAATAATAGTATTAATATTAAATGTATACATATATAGCCCAGCCCTAATAAATCTGTTTTTAGGCTGTAATGTGTGTTTGACCTCTCATTGAATGCCTGATGTGGCGCTGACCCTCACCTGACCCTCATTCATCAGATTCCTGAGTATTTGTCTGTTCTCTCCACCTCTATAGCCTTACTTCCCTCATCATGTTTATCACCTGCCCCGACATTACCCTGGCAGCCTCCATCACGCCCCCTCACGCCCTGCTACTAAACTCCATAAGGACCACAGTCTGGGACTAGTAAGTACATAACTAAACGCCTCAAAGTCTCATGATGCTAAATGTATCTCTCTTTTTTCATGCTTTGTTTTAAGCTCCTTGTGACAAACAGCCTGTGGCTTGTATGCTATAACGTTGCACGCTAAACTCACAGAGCAGTTTTGTAGTTCTGTAGCATTTTCATTGAAGTTTCTTAAAATGAAAATGTATATAAACGCTTTTAGTTTTCAACCTTTTTTCATTTCCTCCTCACTTAGTTTTAGTCTTAAAGGTATGGTAGCTGTTTAATTCTGTGTATGTACATGTAAACCTTTATGATTGGATAACATTTTTGCATGGCAAATGAGTAATAATCTCTCTGCCACTATACGGTCTCATATTTTAATATCTTATGGTTATGACAATATATGATTTCTGCCTGGTTAGTCTGTCTACTTTGTAGATTGAACTTTTAACTTCTAAAAGAACCTGGAAACACTTGTTTTCAATAACATTTCCGTTTAAAGACCTGATGGAGTTTCTAGAATTCATAGAAGTTACAGGAAACCCCCCATAATTCATGTCAATCTCTATGTCAGTCCTCTCCCCTGTCCATTCTAAAGGTGTTTGTTCTGTAACTCTGGTTCTTCCTCTTTCATCCATACTGCCTCCCTCCATCAGGATGTAATCAGAGAGGACTCCAGTGAGGGTCTTCCCTCTCCTACATCCCCCTCTATGGTAACTTTAGCAGTGTGTATGTCTGTGTTTATATCTGTGCATAAAAGATGCAGTAGAGCCTTTTATTGCCTGCAAACACACACACACACACACATATACACTTATGATGCTAGTGGCATGTTAAACTTATTTCTGTCATGACAACTCTCGGAGGGATTGGCATGGTAATGTACATGACAATGTTAATGTATTTGGTCTTGGCGGAATAGATCTGCTACCGAGTACCGAGTACCGAGACTTGCTACTGCCAATACGTCCACAACATGCTGCTGTGAGCATGTAAGAAATATTGCTGCTGCAAATATAACATAAATGAAATAACCCCCCACAAAGCAGGAGACATAGAAGGGACAATACAAGCCAAAACAAGAACAAAACACCCCCCAACAAGCTGGCACCGAAATGAGGCACCGAAATCTGCGTTCTGATTCGGTTCTAGTACATACTGGTTACATAGGTACCGGTGCCATATTGGTACCGGGTTTCGTTACCCAACCCTAGCAACCACGCCGACTGGCTTAATTCTAATTAGATGCGCACTATGTGTAATGTTTAATTAACAAAGTGATATACGTTGCAATCCGATAGATAAGACCCCAGCACCCACCTAAGCAAATATAATAATTTAGTCATTTGATAACTGCTGTACTTTCTCCACTTCATCAGTCCCAGCAGCACAGCTGAAATCAACCACACACTCATCACAATGAAAACATTGACCTTAGAAATAACGAACGTGAAACACTGGGATAATCGCCGATGTATATGGCGAACCCCCGTTGAAATGCATCCACCAGAATGCTTATTTCATTTAACTTGTTTCATGTCCGTTACTATCGCCGTGTCCTCAGAGCGATTACATATGCTCTAGGGATGTGTATCTCATGACTTAGGCCGATACGATACGCATCTCGATGCATAGCCAACGATACGATACATTAAAGATACATATGAAGCAGCTACTGATGCATTGCGATACGATTCACCCCTGTTACGATGCAGTGCGATTCGATTCCAATTCGATTCGATTCAACACAAAGCGATTCGATGCAATACGATGCAATGGAGAAAATATGATCACTTTTAATGCCTCGAGGCCCGTTCCATAAAACAAGTTTACCAAATAAGCCAGGCTTATTTCAGTTAGTTTGACTCATTGTCAAATGATTTGGTTCCATAAAGCAAATTTAACATGGGCCTAGAATAGATCAAGCTTAGTCACTGTGGCAATGATATTACCACTCTCTCACATACTGTTATTTGATTCCTTTTTTTTTTTTTTACAGTTTCTAGCCATGCAGCCTTTCTCTCTGGTTTTATGACAGCTGTACCTTTCATAGTTTTCAGAACATTCTACAAAAGACACATATAATGTCCAACAACAAATATTTTAGCAAAATGTATATTTTACTAGAATTATTGCGCTCCTATTTGATTGCGCTCAGCCTATTTAGTGCGCACGCGCGCAGCAGCGCTTGTTCACTCGTGTCAGCCTCGCCCACTCCTGACAGCAAAATGGATATGTTTGCGTGACTTTCTGACATTTACAGATGAAGAATATACCTGTAACATGTCAGTTATGCACCGAGGAAAACACATCTCAAATGCATTAAACAGCACATATTTGCTGTTTGCGATGTTGGATCGATTTGATCCATGATCGACATTAAGGGCTGCTTAAGAATAAACGTGCACAATTAGAGAGATTGTGTGAACATAATTTGTCATTTATGGAACCGCTTTAGCCCCGATTGATTTGTTAGGTTATTTCAGGTCAGGTTTTGGACTTTAATCCCAGTTTTTCCTCGGGTCTCCGTAGTGTTGTGATGCGTCACAATCACGCAGCAGCAGTGGTGATGAGAGAACGCACTTGAGAAACAGTTTAGAGAGGAGAAATCAATCTACATATAAAATATGGTCACAGATTACTGGTCACTTTCGAAACCATAAAAGTATAGTGCATCCACTAGTAATTATATATAAATAAATAGGTTTTTACTAATGCAAATATGTTAGAACGATGCATCTCAATATAAATGCCAACTTGTAGCCGATGCACACTTTTTAAACTGATGCATCACATCGTTAACTTTATATGTCAATGCACCGAGCAAATCTGGGAATCTTCCCATCCCTAATATGCTCTAAACTGCGTTTTGCTCCAGAGTGTATAACACAGATGCTAAATGCTGCTGCTAATATGCTTAATATTTGCTCCTGCATACAATGCAAACTGCTAACATTACACTTAGATAAACTTGATTATAGTTGCTCATTTTTGAATTCAATTAGGCAGACCACGCAATACACACAGCGATATGGATTAGAAAAGCATTCACTTATCTTAGGCCCTGTCTACACGAACGCGGTTATTTTTAAAACCGCAGCTTTTTCTACGCGTTTTGGCCGTTCATCTACACGCAAATGCAGCACCAGGTCACTGAAACTGAACATTTTTGAAAACGCCTGCCAGGGTGAAGATTTTCAAAAACTCCGGTTGTTATCGTGTAGACAGCGAAACCAGAGTTTTTGGCTTGTGACGTCGGAGCCTGCGCTGTTATCTCCGTCCTATTGGAGACTTTTTCAGGCTTCTGATTGGCCAACATGGCTTTACGGTTGAGATTATATCGCCACCTGTTGGTTTGGCATGCTCATGACAGTGCTTCATAGCATGCGTTTGCGTTTTCATGTGGATGGAGATTTTTTTTAAACGGAAGAAGGAAAAATTCAGTTTATAAAAATACCCATGTACGTGTGGACATGGCCTTAGATGTTGATTTCGCAGTTCTGAAGCAAGCTGCAACTGCTACGGTAAGCCCTAGTCATATATTTGAAAGCTGAGCAGCGAGCTCATTGGCTACCGATACAGGAGAGAACCAATCAGCTGTGCCATATGATAATGATGTCATTAGGTCAGATTAAGTTAGACCTATCGGACTGCGCCATCTAGAGTTTCATGCCAGGACTCTGTATTTGTAAATAACTTTGGATAAAATTGTCTATTAAATGAATAAATGTAAAAGTAAACAACTTGTTTTCACATAAATGTACAGTACAAC